CACTATATCTCTAACCCTCGTCGCTACCCTCTGAAATTGATCCTTTGCCTAACAGCCACCGCCTCTTTTCCTGTCATATTCAAGGTTTATTTTGTTTTCAATTTTTTTCAATTTGATTGATGATTTTAGCTTCAATTATTATGATTTATTATCAATTGGTTGAAATAATGCAATTTCGTAGAAATTTCCTTTGTCAATTAAACATTTTTTCTTGTTTTTACTTGTCAATTATTGCACATTATTGTCATGTAGTTGAGATGGTGTTATTTATTTACAATTTTATTTTCAATTATACATTTATTTCTTTCAATATATTTTTTGTTTTATTGATTTTTTGGGATAAAATGTTCTAACTTGATTAATTAGAGCCCTTGTTGCTTGTTTTTGTTCTTGTAGATAGTAGACAAAAATCCACTCCCTTCTCTATGAGCAGCAATGTCTTACACGTGGCCTTAATCACCAAATATCTAAATACTTTGGGTAATTTGTACTAATTTCAATTACATATAATAAACAAATATTTTTATAGTACAGATAGTAGTATTAAAAATAATAAGTATAAATCATGATGAATGTGTTTAAGCTTTAATTTGCTCATTAACAATAGTTTTAATTTGTTTCCTCTTGCTAGTTTGGGTTTTACTCTTTGGTGCTGTTTTTATTTCAATGGCTCTAATTTTCATTTCACTCTTTGTATTGGTTTTAATTTATTCCCTCTTGCTAGTCAGGTAACTTTTTTTTATTATTTCTCATCACATCTAAATTTTATTGTCTATAGGGAAAAATGCATCCCCGAATCTCACCACTAATATTTATGATCAAAGGTGTGTTCTCATTATCAAGTTCTTACTATTATTGACTTCATTATTCAATTCATTGCATGCGCTTATATTGTTTTCAAATAGGGAATCATTTTATGGATGGTGAGCATTCTTTTTTCTTACTCTTAATGTTATTATATTGTATCCCCTTTAATTCTCTTTTTGGTGGTAATGTTTTTTTTGTTATTTTCTTTTTTCAGTCATTGGGACGAGACAATTTTGGATTTGAGTCATGCATAAGGCCAATTGGTGTTCAATCTATTTAAGTCTACAATAGTTGAATTGTCAACAAAAGACAACAAGCCATAAGAGTATAAGTTATCCGCTGGGTATTGAAAACTTGAAAGTTCATAATAGCGTATTTATAGTCTTGAATAAAGTCTCTCCATTACTATATTATAAGAGAGTAAGAAGTTGCATGTATTTCAAGTATCTTCCTTACATTTAAACATCATTGTAATGATTTTTGAGATGTATATGTAACAAAAATATTTTTAGTTATACTTGTGTAATGATTATATGATGCTCTATTTAATTTCTCAAGAGCTTGTGTATGTTAAACTGCAGATTGGTCATGTGTTTTCACTAAGACATAAGTGATGTAAGGCGATAATTTTTTATTTTTGAAAAATCTGCAACGGACTTTTATATCCCGTCGCAGATCTGCAACGGATTTCTATTCTATCGCAGATTTTTTTCTAGATTTTTGCCACTTCTTTTCGTCGCAGACACTGTCGCAGATTTGCGACGGACACAAACTTCCCTCGCAGATTTTGGCCTAGCGACAAGTTTTTTGCGACGGACAAAGTCTGTTGCAGATCCGTTGCAAATTCTGAATTTGCTACGAAATTCGCAAATCTGCGAGGGAATTTGTCCGTAACAGATCTTACAAATTCTTGTAGTTTAAATATGTTATCGATCTCTCGCGTTATCGTACCACTCAGCTTTATGCAGCTGAGTGTGTAGTCTTTTTGTCTACACGTAGGTTGAAGCACAGATTATGTGAACCACCTGGAGGACGAAGAGACGATAGGATGGCAGGTTTACATGCATGATTTTCACGAGTATTGCATTTGAAGTTTTGGGTTTGACCCACAACATTGTATTTGTATTACTTTAAGTTTTCCACTATCTCCGACATTTTGTAACAAGATCAATCCGAATTTAGCTTTTTGTATTTGAAGTTTTGTTTTATGAATTTTATTTAATGATTTGTAAAAGTTTTAAAAATATATCTCCCGTTTCACCTTAATTACTATAATTCCGGGTTATACGAATTGAGGTGTTACACTTGATACACATGATCTAACCTTATACTATGTCCTAACGAGTTAGACACTAGTATAGGTTGTTCTAATTGTTCTTGCATTATGTCAGCCTTTTCAGGCATAGGTACGCAGATATAAGACAACGTTGATCCAAGGTCTATCAACACATGCATGACAGTATCAAATAAGGAAAATATACCCTGAATGACGTCAGGGTTTTCCTCAGCTCGAGCCTTCATTGCATAGGTACGGGCAGGAGCTCGGCCTTGCTNAATTACTATAATTCCGGGTTATACGAATTGAGGTGTTACACTTGATACACATGATCTAACCTTATACTATGTCCTAACGAGTTAGACACTAGTATAGGTTGTTCTAATTGTTCTTGCATTATGTCAGCCTTTTCAGGCATAGGTACGCAGATATAAGACAACGTTGATCCAAGGTCTATCAACACATGCATGACAGTATCAAATAAGGAAAATATACCCTGAATGACGTCAGGGTTTTCCTCAGCTCGAGCCTTCATTGCATAGGTACGGGCAGGAGCTCGGCCTTGCTACTAGTTTTGACTCTTGGCAGGATTAGACCCTGCTGTTGAGCGTTGGCTTGGTGCGGGTCGCACTGATGCTGCTTGACTGACAGCCGGGGCAGGTGGAAATTAAATGGTTCTCCATGATTTGTTGATTAATCTTTAGAGATTATTTGTCTAGCTTGTCTCTGAGTTAGGAAAAATAATCTAGCCAACCATATTTAGACACATTAGTGAGGCCTAGAAAGATGATAAGTTGATGAATTAAAATCTAATTAATCAAGAAGCTAAATCATACTTGTTCAATTCATACCTGTTTCTAAATCATTGATTAAATTAATCCTATTATTTCTATTATTTTGTTTTATACTTGATTGCTCTTAGTCTTTCTATTTAAGATTAATTTCTCTGTTAAAACTATTTATCAATTTAATTAACAAATACTTCCCTTGTCCAATTCTTGAGAGACGACATGAGTTATTCTTAGTTAATTTATTGACTTACTACTATATCTAGCTTCGTCAAGGACCATTCATTGCGCAATAATACCAGGCCCATCATTCTCTTTCCTCTTTGATTCTTTCTTATTCCTCTCTCATATATTAGTAAAATTTGCCATAAATAGTAGTTTATGAATCTTTTAGTTAGGAACACACAGTTTTACTCATTCCGTTTTTTAATCCATAATTGTGGAATATGTATCACTCATCTTGTTTGATGATATGATCTCTTCTTAATCGCTTGATGATCATATCATTGCATATGTGCACTCACGTACTATCTTTATGGTTTAATCATCTTAAAGTTGATTACATGTATTTTAATTTTTCACCTCTGTATTTAATTATGTATAATATTTCTAAAAGGGTGTTTTTTAGAGAGTGAAGAGTGCATTGGTGCTTGTAGGAATGCATGAGTTCAACAATTTCTGTATTGTTAAGTGTTGACTCACAGGTTTTGATGATTGACAAACACAGTTTATTTAAGTCAAGATGAAAGTGCTACATCGACAAATAAGAAAACTGGAAGTGCCATTCCTTGAAGTATTCAAGAAGGTGCACATGATTTTATTGAAGTCTTAGACGCATTCGGAGCGCTTAACAGAGGACTCGGAGGAGTAGAAGATTTCCGAAGACTTTTTATTTATTTGAGTCTTAAGAATTATTATATTTTAAGGATGACAAAAATATCTTCTCTCCAAAATTTATTTTTATGAGAGTTAAAATAAAAATTATATTTATTTTTGGAGTCAGCTGAAAATATCCTTTTAACTGTTCAAAATACATTTATTGAGTCTGTTACAAAAAGTGTGTCAAACATTTATCAAAATATTTATTTTGATATTAGAAAATATTTTTTTGGAAAGCAAAAATATTTTATTCAAATATTTTCGTGTTCACATTGACACACAAAATAATTTTGGGACTCAATTTCTTCACTCCAAATATCTTTCTTTTATTTCAAAAGTATTTTTGAATATTAATTGAGGTGATAGGGAGCCTTCCCCTGAAATTTTTGTTGGAAAGACCTATAAAACTCTATTTTATCCTTCCAACTCGCCCACATGCTTGTGTTCTTCATGTCTGGGCATTATTATGGCAATAATCGATTGTTACCTCTGGAATTAATTGATTATCTCGTCCAGAAGGAACTTATCGATTAACACCTTTGGCTTTAATCGATTATCACCTTTTCTGCTTTACGAAATTTTGCTCTGGCGAAATTAATAGATTTTTTCACTTGCATATATTAATCGATTGTGATGATGCACTAATAGATTATAGTGATGCATTAATAGATTATTATGATGCCTTTTTCAACCCAGCTTCTTTTCTTGGACCAACAAGTATATTTCTTCACCTCCTATTTAAATACCCTTCCTTGGTCATCGTTAATAACAAGATACACTCCAATACTCCCCATTCTTGAGGTGTTAACCCGCAACCAATCATTCCTCAAATTTATATTATTTTGAGAGAAAATTATTTGTTTTTAAGAGAGGTTTCTTGTCATCCATTAGAGCAAACATTTTCTCATTCCTACTCTTTTGAGAGCTATTGTTGAGAGGTTGAAGAAGATTGTTCTTCTTGTTGTTCAAGACTTATGTGACTTAAGTCTTGGTTGTGAAGTCTTCTAGAGAGCATATCTACGAACGGTTGTGACGAGGCTTGTGGGATTCAAGTTCTCGAGTTGTAAACGGTTTTTTAAGCACCCGTAAGCTTAACAGAAGTAGTGGTAGCTTCGAGAGAGTCTCTCGGGGAACTGGACTAGCCACGAGGTGGTGAACCCGTATACATCGGTGTGTTCTTTGCCTTCTCTATTTTAATTCTGCTCTACTTACGTTTATATTATTAATCGTGCGAAAATCGTTAAGTGACGTTTGAGAAAACGATCAAATTTTACGATGTGGTGAACCCGTCTAGATTCTAACGCTTCTTGTGACGTTTGAGAAAACGATCAAATTTTTTTTTGAGAATGTTGAACGCAGGGATATGAGAAGGGCAATCCAACGTAAGGCCGCCATTTTTTGATGGAACGAATTACTCCTATTGGAAGGAGCGGATGAGAATTTTTGTTCAATCTAATGACTTCAAAATTTGGCTTGCTATCAAGAATGGAGATAACTTGCCGATGAAGAAGATAGGTGATACACTCATCCCGAAGAATGAGGATGAATATGATGAAGCCGACTTCAAGAAGGCTCAATTGAATGCCACCGCCATAAACTTCTTGTATTGTGCTGTCAACGACAACGATTATCAAAAGATATCTCATTGCCAAACTGCCAACCAAATGTGGAACAAGCTCATGATCACATCTGAAGCTACGCCTCAAGTTCGTGAATCAAAAATTGATTTACTAACTCATGAATATGAGTTATTTGCTATGAAAGAGAATGAGCTTGTGGAGGACATGTTTGGAAGATTTTCGAACATTATCAACGACCTTGATATGCTTGGAAAGACTTTCGCCGACAAGGAGTTAGTGAGGAAAATCCTGTGAAGTCTTACCAAGGAATGGGAGTCAAAGGATAACTCCTTCTACGAAGGCTGAGATTATAACGTCATCACATACGACGGTCTTCGAGGTAACCTTATCACTTATGAAACAAATTGTAACACCCTAATCCGTCCAGGTCTGCAGCCCCTTTCGGACTAAAGTATTAACTTGGTAATCATAAAATTTAAAACATTTCAAATACTTTTATTCATTATAAATATTATTCAATACATAATTATAGCAAAATATGGATTGTTTAATAATAGTGCGGAAGCAATTTAAACTATGTTTAATAACAACACAATTATTCATTTTAAAATTACAAATTCCACCACGACAGTCTCGCCCCTTCCGCTGCCAGGAACATGTCATTCACTCATCCTGCCTACCTGCGTGTAGCAAATAAAACACACTACACGCTCAGCGGTGAAGCTGAGTAAGCATATCTAAAGCGTCGAACATCCACATAGATTCAATCTCAATTCACAAACAACCATTTGATATCAAGCACACAATATATAATCCATTCATGATATTTTATTTCAATATCTCAATATTCAACATTCATATTCAATATTCAATATTCAACAATATCCTTAAACTATGCTTAGTCTAAGGCCAGTTCCATTCTTAAATTGATTTTAGATCAAGATATTCTAATCCTTAAGCTAGGCCTAGTTTAAGATATATTTAAAAAAGAGTTTTCAAATCTTAAACTTACCTTCAGTTAAGGTCAACCAAAAACCGACAACATAGTGTTCACTGTTGGGTTGGGTGGTACTCCCAAACGAGTAGGTACTCAAGTTTGGTTTTTCGATCCCATACGTACGTTTTAACCCTAGCCACCGGGCATCATACCAGCAAGGCCTAACTTATATAGGTATATCTTAGAGTTTTCTAGATATCTTTCAAAATCAACTTCACTATGGGTATATCTTAGAGTTTTTCTAGATACCCTTAACAATACATTCTCGTTATGATTATCAATACATCCATTTTTAATTATGATTAAGTCATCAATAATCATTCTAATCAGTAGGTTTATCATTCATAATCATTCATAACATTTATTCATCATAATGATCATTCAACATAACGTTTAATAACAATTAGCGGCCTAGTCTTGAGTGTTAACACCCGAACTTACCGTCATGCATCACATAATGTTTTAATTTGTTAAAAACATCATGAAAAATCATTTTTATAATGATCATAATCAATTAGTATCAAAAATAGGATTTTAGAGCTCAAAAATAGCATTTTCAGACAAATTTTTGGGTTAGAATTTCGGAGAATCGATCCAGACTGTAAAATTTTACTCCCAGGGGATCGATCCATTGAGGATGATTGATCCTCCCTACTGCATTTTAGGTACTGTTCATCTTCTTCAACCTCTCGGGTCCAATTTCGAAAATACCATTTTTGGTTACCAAATTTCAATTAAACTATATAGAGATGTTATCTAAGGTTCATAGATAATTTTAGGATTATTAAAACATACTTTTAACATCAAATTCAAGGTGTATGATTCTTGGTTCTTAAAACATGTCAAACACAAAACTCAACCAAATGACGATTTATGAACGTAGAAACGACCTATATGAATATTCTAGTCATTAGATATATCTATGGGCTTACCTTGAAGCGTAAGGGAGGTTTTGAAGAATTTCCGGTGAAACTTCCGGCGACTCTATCTCACTGCTTCGGCGACCTCACACAAAGATGACAGCACCACTGCACTATACTCTCAGCAAGGAACAATATAGAAGGAAGAATGAGTTGTTTTGGTGAGGAAATGAGGGAGATTGGTCATCCTTAAATAGCCCAATGAAGAAGAAGAAGACGCAGGTTTGCAGCTTCCGTGATTGAGCGACGAATTTGGAATCGGCGTAATTGAATAGGGCGCCGTTTGGTGTGTAGTCCCTGATTGGGACTAATTTTGGCCCTATATGGGGTACACTTTTTTGTCCAACTTTCTCCAAATTGAAATCCGATTAAACCGCTGTGGTCAGATAGTCAAACTCTACATAATAATATAATTTTCATTATTTATTGACAAACTTTATAAATTACTTATTTTTGGGTCCTTCTCACTAATTAATTAATTATCAATTAATTAATTCTGATAGCCCTATTTCGGGGCGTTACACAAATCATCTCTCTCATACTCTTGATGTAAAGAAGAAAATGGGAATTGCTTTTAAAGCATCCTCTTCTCAAAGAGTAGAGATTAATTATTCGAATAGTGATAGCGATTCTAGTGTTGATAGTGATTTTAGAACTTCTTGTGATATTTTGGTTGAATGTTTTAACGAGTTTATGAAACATGAGCTTAAAAAGAGCAAGAAGAAGAACACCCCAAAGTTTCATAAGTGCGGAAAGCTTGGCCACCAAAAATTTGAGTGCCCGAAGCTCAAGAAGAGGAGCAAACAAGATGAATTCGCATACTTTTCGTGGAAGTATGATGAACCTTCCAAAGACAATTTTCTCATCTCTCTTGAAGAACAAGATGGGTGGTCGGGTACGTAACGCACATGGAAGGTGTGCTTGCGAAGGCTATAAATTTGTAGTGGATGCTCCAAGCACTTTGCCAAAGAGGTTGCAGCAAAGGGGAGTCATTATATTTTTTGAATGAATTTATATGAATTTATTTGTGGAATATACATAGGATGTATTGCATATAGTATGGGGGAATTTATTGTTATATGTGTTAATCTTTTTGCATGCCTTATTTTTTTAAGGGGTAGATAGCATACTTTAAGGGGGAAGTATTTTATTTCCTAGAAATGCATGATTTTAGGGGGAATGTGATTTTTCATAATTGTCTATCATTTTTTTCTCTCCTCGGAATGCATGAGTTCTTTTGTTGCATTATTTTTTTTAATATTTCCAAAAGGGGGAAGAGTATAGGAGTATATGCTTTAAATTTTTATTTGTTGGTAGCATATCCTCCATGTGTTTGTCATTATCAAAAAGGGGGAAATTGTTGGAATGCATGAGTTCAACCCTTTCTGTGTTGTTAAGTGTTGACTCACAGGTTTTGATAATTGACAAACACAATTTATTTAAGTCAAGATCAAAGTGCTACATCGACAAACAAGAAGACTTGAAGTGTCATTCCTTGAAGTATTCAAGAAGGTGCACATGATTTTATTGAAGTCCGAGACGCGTTCAGAGCGCCTAACGGAGGACTCAGAGGAGTAGAAGATTTCCGAAGACTTTTTATTTATTTGAGTCTTAGGAATTATTGTAAGGATGACAAAAATATCTTCTCTCCAAAATTTATTTTTATGAGAGTTTAAATAAAAATTATATTTATTTTCGGAGTCAGTTGAAAATTTTTTTAACTGTCCAAAATACATTTATTGAGTCAGTTACTAAAAGTGTGTCAAACATTTATCAAAATATTTATTTTGATATTAGAAAATATTTTTGGAAAGCAAAAATATTTTCGTGTTCATCGTTTGACATACAAAATAATTTTGGGACTCAATTTATCCACTCCAAATATCTTTATTTTATTTCAAAATTATTTTTGAATAATAATTGAGGTGATGGGGAGCCTTCCCTTAAAATTTTTGTTGGAAACACCTATAAAACTCCATTTTATCCTTCCAACTCGCCCACATGCTTGTGTTCTTCATATCTGGGCATTATTGTGGCAATAATCGATTATTACCTCTGGAATTAATCGATTATCTCGTCCAGAAGGAACTAATCGATTAACACTGATAACTCGGGTTTGGTTTGGTACTTTTTATTCTTTTTTAGGTATTTTTAATAATTTTAGTATTTAATTTTTAGTAGTTTAGCTTAGTTTTATTTTAATTCTTATTTTTACAATCTTTTAATTTTCTTTTAAAAATAGTAGGTTTTTAATTATTTGTTAACATTTTATTATTGTCTTCATTTTATTTTATTTTCCCTAACCCAAAATTTTTATAGAAAAGTATAGCAAAAGGCCAAAGTGCAGCTCAAGTTTGGAAAAAAGAGAAAGATTTTGGGTCAGAGCCCAAACTCAACGTTAAAGAATCAGCCCAAAACCTTACCTCCCTCCACTTTTACTTTCACGCAAGGAAAAAAAAAGAAGAAGTCAAAGAGCAGCGGTTCTTCCTCTTCGTAGATTGCAGCGCGCATAACTCCTCCAACGTTCGGCTCCATCAAATTCGCGACATTCAATTCTCAATGGGAAGTAATTCAACGGTAAATTACTCCTTCTTGCTATAAATTAGAGCAACATCAACTCAAGAACCAGAGGGGGGGAAACACGCGAGAATAAAGTAGGAATCATCTCCGGCGAGCGGTCGGACATCATCTCCGGCGAGCGGTCGCGGAATCCGGCGGACATCTCTGGCGCGGCGGCGGACGGCCGGCAGACGCGAACCGGCGGCGGCATCATCTCCGGCGAGCGGTCGGCAGTAGCTCTGGGCAGAGGTTAGGCTGTTCCATCACAGCTCCAGTTTACTCAATTTGTTCATCTTCTTCAACAATGGGTAACCTTTACTTGTCAATTTTTATTTTTTTCCTCCAATTCTATGTAAAAGTTTGTTTTTTATTCAATTCTTACATTTTTGTTTGTTTTAATTTCAAAATTTCAAAAAATGGTTGGTGTTCTTTATGGGTTTTTTTCATGTTTATATTAATATCCCTTATGAATGAGAATTGATTCAAACTAGTTTTTCTTCAATTATTGAGCAAGTTGTTGTTGAATTGGTTGAATTGCATAATTTGATTTCATAAGTAGGTTGGTATGTGGAATTTGGTTTTTGTTGAAGCTATTTTAGCTCCATAAGGTAGTTAAATGAACTCCGAGTTCATACGTGAATCTCTTTTGTGCTTGTGTTCGTTGATTTTAAGAATTTTGGACTTCTTAGCCCCATAAGATGATTCATTTTTCTTAGAATTCGTTATTGAGTGATTGTGTATTTTTTTAGTGTGTTCGTTTGTTATTTTCATTAATTTGAGGTTGTTTAAGCTCAAAAACGATTCTCAATTTATTGGAAATACGTTGTGTTCCTCTATGTGAATTGAAAAAACGTCATTGGTTTGAGAAGTTCATGGAAATCTATGAAATGTGCTCATCATTAGGAGAAAAAGTTTATTAAAATACATAAGGTATTGGCGGTTTGTGAATAGATTATGTATGAGAGTTGAATGCATAATAGATTTTCTCTTTTATAAACTTTTTCTATAGTGGAAGTATGTTTTCATGCTTGAATAGAGAGTTGGGGTTCTAAGGTATATTTCAAAACGGGCCTTTGAATTGCATGACTCCGGGCCGTGTGGAGAGTTGACAATCCTCCATATCGTGGTTAAGGAAATGAATCGACTCGGCCTTTGATTGATTTTTTTTATTCTTAAGTGCGTAAGTTACGTAATATATTGTCTACGTGCCTATTATACGTGTAATGTTCAACTCGTGTTTGTTCTCTTTTTTCATTTTGTCTCGGGTTCTTGGCGGTGTTTCTTGGGTTACCTTTATTGGAGAAGTAATATCTTTTGAGCTTATTTCTCCCATTTTATCAAAAAAAATCAAAAAAAAAAAGAAAAATAAAAAACCAAAAATATATTTACTTTTCATCCAACACCCCCCTATTGTGTTTAGTGTTATAAGTTATATTATAAGTTCTTTGTTTATATAAGTTATATTTATAAGTTTTCATATTTATTTAGTTATAAGTTTTAGTTATAAGTTTTACAAGTGTTATAATATGTGTAGTAGTTAGTTTATTTTGTTTAGTGACAATGTGTGTGCATGCTTAAATGATTTCAAAAGTACAAACTTTCTCCGTATGATCGACCCTTACTTGCCCTAGCTATAGTTTTTATTTGATTATCTATTGGGGGTTAGCTAAGGATATTTTATAAATTTTTAATTTGTTTTGGACTTTACGACAAGTCCTCAACAAACACCTTTGGCTTTAATCGATTATCACTTTTTTCTGCGCAGAAGGAATTTTGCTCTAGCGAAAGTAATCGATTTTTTTCACTTACATTAATCGATTTTGATGATGCACTAATTGATTATAGTGATGCATTAATCAATTATTATGATGCCTTTTTCATCCCAACTTCTTTTCTTGGACCAACAGATATATTTCTTCATCTTCTATTTAAACACCCTTCCCTGATCATCGTTAATAACAAGAAACACTCCAATACTCCCCATTCTTGAGGTGTTAATCCTCAACCAAACATTCCTCAAATTTATATTATTTTGAGAGAAAATTATTTGTTTTTAAGAGAGATTTCTTGTCATCCGTTAGAGCAAACATTTTCTCATTCCTACTCTTTTGAGAGCTGTTGTTGGGAGGTTGAAGAAGATTGTTCTTCTTGTAGTTCAAGACTTATGTGACTTAAGTCTTGGTTGTGAAGTCTTGTAGAGGGCATATCTACGAGCGGTTGTGACAAGGCTTGTGGGATTCAAGTTCTCGAGTTGTAAACGGTTTGTTAAGCATACCACTACTACAGAATATATATTACACAGCGGATAAATATGACTTTTCCCATCGGAAAACAGACGCTGTCTATGCAACCGATGGGAAAGATCTCTTGTTTACGCAGCACATATTTTTCTGATGTGTAAAGTTTACACATCGGATAGTTTATGCGCTGTATAAAGTTTATACATCGGAAAAATATGCGCTGCGTAAAGATGAGAGCTTTCCCATCGGTTGTATAGACAGCGAATATTTTTCACATTAGACAGCGGATAAATAGTCGGTGTGTAAACTTTATATAGCGGAAAAAAATTTGATGTGTAAGCATAAACAATAACTTTTCAATGTGAGAAATTATATTTACCCAATACATAAAATTGCAATATATATAGTGAAACAATTTTTATTAAAAAAGAATAAAACAAAATACATGAGGGGAGGACCAAACCAAAGCCCCTCCATAAATGGTGAGAACATATGTTTACTAAAAACATAATGATTGCTAAAATAGATGTCGAGCAAAAATTATAGGTTTCCCACTATTGCAAAGTGAACTTTAACATAGTTTATTTTCACTCTTCATCCCAATTGCTCCATAACATATTGATCGATCAGAAGCACATGAAGCTCTTATGTCCAAAGCCTACTACAAACTTTAAAAACACTTCTCTTCACCAAGAAATTAAAACCTAATAACGAATATCTTTCTGAATAGTAGACATTATTACTCAATAGACATATTCCTCTTCTTTTTTTTAGCAAAGAGAGATATTATGAAATCAAGTGATGACCGGGTATTGTGAAGAAGAGGAATATGTCCACGATATTGTGAAAAAAGAAAGAGATATTATATTGTGAAATAATGTTGGAGACAAACTTCAAGAGGGAGTTCCTACTTGCATAGAGACTCTTTCAAGGCCTAGAATCAAAATTTGGGTGCTTATAATAGGCAAGATAGAAACTGCAATAACGGGAACCCGTGTATGAAGTACATCTTCGTCAATCATCTCCCTAATTCTATAAAAACAAGCTTGGTCTGAATCCAGTGTATCATGCATAATTAATTGTGTTCTTCAAGATAGCTTTCCTATAATAGATTATAAGGTTGTACTCTTTAAGTGCATTAATACCATTAGCTTCATCATTGTAATGAAATCATTAAGTTTATTGCATCTCAGGAATATCAGCATCTGTTGGACCATGCTGGTCTTATAGTAAGTGGAACAAGAATGGATATTAAAGTATAAATTATATATAAATTTATAAGAATATATATTTTAGTTCAGGAATTACATAATCATATCTTGATGTGATAAATAGAAGAGAACTAGACAGTAGACATAATTGATATATATATATATAGTAAGACTCTAAACTAAACTCACAGTAAGTTTAACATCCTTTCTCCTTTGAAATGAATAGCAAGTGTACCACACGCACGCACATACAGACACACAAGATTTCATTTCTATCATTTAATACAACCAAGAAAAGAATCTTAAGAAAGAAGGTCATGGGGCCAGTTTACTCCTCATTCATTAAGCATTTTAAGAACAAAGAGAGTATAGCAAGTGAAGAATATGATATGGAGTTGACAGAGCAGTGAAGACAAGGCATGTTTTTTTAGTGTACCTTTTCCTTATGGATGCATATTTCTCGTTTTCACATGTGGACTTGTAAACATTTATGAGCAAAAAACTCTTGGCATCTTTTAGAATCTAGTCATAAGCAATTTAAAGATCCAATTATACGAGGACTGACAAAATTCAACATAATGACTACTTTAATTAAGAATAAGCATACACCTTGGAGAGTAGTGGCAAGGCATCCAGATAAATTAAAAATAAATTTATCCCTCTTTTTTTAGCACAAACATCTCTCTTTAGCAAAATGAGATAAAAATAGAAATTATGCTTATGTGTTAAAAGGAAATTGATTTGCAAGCATACCTGGAATGTTGCACGGAAACTCCATATAGGCTGTAGTACTCGTTTCAGACACCTTGGACACGCCGACACGAAACGGGCACACCTGGAGTCGTCTCGGAAACTCCATGCGGCGTTTCTGTAATTTTAATTTAAAAAAAAGGAAAGGCTGAAACAAGAATTACTAATGCTCGATCAAAGAGTGTGCCTCTGCCTCCTTCCAAACCATCTGTAGACTCTTCGGTCAGCGAGTCAGGGGGTCAAGGGTGGCGACGCCCCCTTGCCTGGGGTCCGGGGGGCGGAGTCGACCCCGGCTTGACGGTATGCTATTTTGTTGTATTGGGCTCTAATCATTGTATTGGGTCTAGCCCGTTTTGTGTGCCTATTTATATAGAGATGATGAACTGCAAATAGATGATGATATACCTCAAACTAAAATCAAAATTGGGTGATTCCAAAAACCTAACTCGTAGAAACACTAATTAAGTAACTCAACTCATATTTGTAGTAATCTAGGGTTCAATTAAGTAAAAACACTACATAGAATTAGAACCAGAACTGAATTCAGTTCAATTAAGTGAATTCAGTACGCAGAAACCTAAACTTATATGTTAACTCTATTCAGTTCAATTAAGTAACTCAACTCATATTTCCAGTAAATTTTCGAACTAGAATTTGAACTGAATATTTGCAACTAGGTTTCCAGTAAATTGAATGCAGAAATTATTAAATAATTAAAGTTTTGATGAACTGCAAATAGATGATGATATACCTCGAACTAAAATCAGAATTTGGCGATTCCAAAAACCTAATTCGCAGAAACACTAATTAAAACACCAATTGGTAGAAATTAAAATATGTGGAAAAGAAATCAAACCTCTATTGATCGAGCAGGCGATTGAAAGCTGAGAATAGCGCTAAGATATATGTGGCAATCGATCGATTTGAGATTAGGCGCAAAGAATATCGCGGTAGAGATCAGAAGGGAATTGAATAGGCTTGGAATCAAAATAGCGACTTTTGTAAATACATCCCACTTTACACAGCGCATGTAAAAAAAAGGCTGTGTAAGAGTTAAAAAAAAATAGATACGCGACTTCATAGTTGGAATTGCGCTCGTCCTCTATCCCAAAACTTTACACAGCACTTTGAAGTACTTCGCCTTGTAAAGTGCGATGTATATTGTATATTCTGTACTATGCACAGGTAAGTTTAACGGAATTAGTGGTAGCTTCGAGAAAGTCTCTTGGGAAACTGGACTAGCCACGAGGTGGTGAACCGGTAAACATCGGTGTGTTTTTTGTCTTCTCTATTTTATTTCCGCTACACTTACGTTTATATTATTAATCTTGCGAAAATCGGTAAAAATTTTCAACAACTCTATTCACCCCCCTCTAGAGTTGCACGTCTTGTCTAACAGTGTTGTCTAATTTGTGAGAGGTCGCTAGAGTTGGGAGTTATCATCGTCGGAAGTTTCACCGGAAAATCTTCAAACCCCCATTAAGCTTCGAGATAAGCCCGTAGATATATCTAATGACTAGAATGTTCGTATAGATCGTTTCTACGTTCATAAACGGTCATTTAGTTTAGTTTTGTGTTTGACATGCTTGAAGAACCAAGAATCATAAACCATGAAAATGATGTTAAAACTATGAGTTAATGATGCCAAAATGATATATGAACCTAGGAGAACATCGCTATATAGTTTCGTTGAAGTTCGGTGACTAAAAGTGGTGTTTTTGAAAAATGGATCGAAGGTTGAAGAAGATGAACAGTGGCTGAAAAACCACTGTTTGGATCGATCATATTACCTGGATCGATCATCTGGGAGTTTTTCTTTTAGTTTGGATCGATCCATAAGGCTGGATCGATCCCCTGAGAATCTGACCCAAAAATATTTCTAAAAATGTTATTTTTGAGCTCCAAAATCCTATTTTCGATACCAATTGATTATAATCATTATAAAGATGATTTTTTCATAATAAAAATGATGTTTTTAACAAATAAAATCTTATGTGATGCATGATGGTAAGTTTGTTAGACAAGATTCTACCGTTTTGAGGACTCTTTTCTTGCCAACCTTCTTTGTTGGAAGACAAAGTCCATTGTTGATCATCATCCACGATTTGTAATCAATGGATTGAATGAATATTTTCATTCTCTCTTTCCAATATGAATAATTTGTTCCATTGAACAACGGTGGTCTTTCGGTGGATTGCCCTTCTCTAATCCCTGCGTTCAACATTCTCAAAAAAAAATTGATCGTTTTCTCAAACGTCACTAAGAGCGTTAGAAATACCCGCTCTGATACCAATTGTTAGACAAGACGTGCAACTCTAGAGGGGGGTGAATAGAGTTGTTCAGAATGTTTACCGATTTTCGCAGGATTAATAATATAAACGTAAGTGCAGCGGAAATAAAAGAGAGAAGGGAAAGAACACACCGATGTATACTGGTTCACCACCTCGTGGCTAGTCCAGTTCCCCGAGAGACTCTCTCGAAGCTACCACTACTTCCGTTAAGCTTACGGGTGCTTAACAAGCCGTTTACAACTCGAGAACTTGAATCCCACAAGCCTCGACACAACCGCTCGTAGATGTGCCGTCTACAAGACTTCACAACCAAGACTTGAGTCACATAAGTCTTGAACAACAAAAAGAACAATCTTCTTCAGCCTCACAACAATAACTCTCACAAGAGTAGATAAGAGAAAAGATTAAAGCTCTAATGGATGACAAGAAACCTCTCTTAAAAACAAATATTTTCTCTCAAAATAATATAAATTTGAGGAAGGATTGATGGAGGATTAACACCTCAAGAATGGGGAGTATTTTAGTGTTTCTTGTTTTCAAAAATGACCAAGGAGTGAAGTTTATAAAAGGGTTGAAGGAAAATATCCGTTGGTCCAAGAAAAGAAGCTGTGCAGAAAAGATGCAGCATAATAATCGATTAATGCACCATCAGCAACGATCAATGCAACTGAAGGAAAATCGATTAAATTAAAGGGATTAATCGATTAGAAGGGTCTGTGTGAACTAATTGATTAAAGGGAAAGGAAAAATCGATTAGACACAAGACCTAAGCAATCCAACTCAAAAAGCTACTAATCGATTAAACAAGGAGGAAAAATCGATTAATTAAATGTGCTGAACAATAATCGATTAAACAAAGAAGTATAATCGATTAAAAGAAGAAATCATGCGCAAACACAAAGGGCCCAAGCCAGTTGCGATGGAGAGCAGAATTGGCGTAACACTTGTTGTTTGAGACAACGGGAATCAGAGAAAGCTCCTCCTCTCTTATTCAATGAATTTGAGTAGGGGAGAGAAAAAGAGTCCAAAAATTATTTTGTGTGTCAAACGATGTACACGAAAAATATTTGAATAAAATATTTTTGCTTTCCAAAATATTTTATAATATCAAAATAAATATTTCATAAATGTTTGGCACACCTTTTTGTAACTGACTCAATAAATGTATTTTGAACAGTTAAAAAGATTTTTCAACTGACTCCAAAAATAAATATAATTTTTATTTTAACTCTCATAAAAGTAATTTTGGAGAGAAGATATTTTTGTCATCCTTACAATAATTCCTAAGACTCAAATAAATAAAAAGTCTTCGGAAATCTTCTACTCCTCCGAGTCCTCCGTTAGGCGCTCCGAACGCGTCTTGGACTCCAATAAAATCTTGTGCACCTTCTTGAATACTTCAAGGAATGGCACTTCAAGTCTTCGTGTTTGTCGTTGTAGCACTTTGATCTTGACTTGAACAAATTGTGTTTGTCAATTATCAAAACCTGTGAGTCGACACTTAACAACACAGAAAGGGTTGAACTTATGCATTCCAACAATTTCCCTCTTTTTGATAATGACAAACACATGGAGAATATGCAACCAACAAATAACAAATTAAAGCATATACTCCTATACTCTTCCCCCTTTTGGCATTATCAAAAGTAATGCAACAAAAGAACTCATGCATTCCGGGGAGAGAAAAAAAATTCTAAACAATTATGAAAAATCACATTCCCCCTAAAATCATGCATTTCTAGGAAATAAAAAAACTTCCCCCTTAAAGAATGCTATCTCCCCTTTAAAAAAACAATTAAAGCATACAAAAAGATTAACACATATAGCAATAAATTCCCCCTTACTATATGCAAAACATCCTATGTATATTCCCCAAATAACAATTATCACAAATAAACCTCAAAAATAACATTTAATTAAAAAAACATGTAATCACTCTCCTTTGATGCAATCTCTTTGGCTAAGTGCTTGGAGCATCCACTACCAAATTTGTAGTCTTCAAGCACACCTTTCATGGGCATCTAAAAATAAAAATTTGGTACCCAACCACTTTTGGGTCCTGGATGGTTAGGAGCAAAACAGTCATAGCTATATGATAAATCTCTATGCTTGGTAAAACATACGGGTGCTATGTGTCCTACCCGATTGCAATAGTGACATATTGCGTTCGGGTTGTGCATATGTCTAGGTTGAGCCAAGTAATATCTAGGTGATCTAAAATCATTATCCCTAGAGTTAAAATTCCTAGACTCATTTCTAGGTTTTCTAAAAACATTCCTACCATTTATAAAATTTCTAGAATCATTTTTAGGTTGCCTAAAAATTATCTTATTATTTTTAAATTTCCTAGAGTCATTTCTAGGTTGTCTAAAATTATTCCTAACATTTTTAAAATTCCTAGAATTATTTCTTCTATGTGGTCTATTTATCTTAACATTTTGATCAATTTCCTTAGGCTCTTCTACCTTAAGATTTTCTAAGGTGCTCTTAAGTTCAACATTTTCTACTCTTAAAGAATCACAAGAAGAACAAGTAGAACTATGATCAATAAAAGATGAAGCTTCATTCATTGCCTTAATTTTATTTTTAAGGTCATGATTATCATTTTTCAAAATTTTATTTTCATCTTCCAAAGCTTGAATTTTAGCCTTAGCCTCTTTGGCAAATTTTGAAGCTATCTTGAATTCACCAAATAATTCTTTAAAAGCTTCTTGCAATTCTTCAAAACAAGGAGAGTCAGATGTATTTACCTCCTTTTCTTCATTTGCCATGAAGCAAGTTTGGGATTCTTCCATTGCTTCTTCAAGAGCTTCATATTTCTCTTGAAGATCGTCCCATAACTTCTTCGCCGATACATATCCCGAGAAGGTTTGGAATACTTCCACGTTGATGGTGCAATAAAGAAGGTGTAGAGCTTTAGCGTTTTGTTCTACCGTTTTGAGCTCATCATCTGTGTACTCCTCTTCGGGTTTGAGGACTCTTTTCTTGCCAACCTTCTTTGTTGGAAGACAAAGTCCATTGTTGATCATCATCCACGATTTGTAATCAATGCATTGAATGAATATTTTCATTCTCTCTTTCCAATATGAATAATTTGTTCCATTGAACAACGGTGGTCTTTCGGTGGATTGCCCTTCTCTAATCCCTGCGTTCAACATTCTCAAAAAAAATTTGATCGTTTTCTCAAACGTCACTAAGAGCGTTAGAGATACCCGCTCTGATACCAATTGTTAGACAAGACGTGCAACTCTAGAGGGGGGTGAATAGAGTTGTTCAGAATGTTTACCGATTTTCGCAGGATTAATAATATAAACGTAAGTGCAGCGGAAATAAAAGAGAGAAGGGAAAGAACACACCGATGTATACTAGTTCACCACCTCGTGGCTAGTCCAGTTCCCCGAGAGACTCTCTCGAAGCTACCACTACTTCCGTTAAGCTTACGGGTGCTTAACAAACCGTTTACAACTCGAGAACTTGAATCCCACAAGCCTCGATACAACCGCTCGTAAATGTGCCCTCTACAAGACTTCACAACCAAGACTTAAGTCACATAAGTCTTGAACAACAAGAAGAACAATCTTCTTCAGCCTCACAACAATAACTCTCACAAGAGTAGATAAGAGAAAAGATTAAAGCTCTAATGGATGACAAGAAGGCAACATATCTAGTGAAAGGACACATTGCATCCATGCACTTACGAGGAAGGAGGCGGTGGAGCCTAGAAAAGTCCGTCCTTCTCCCTCTAGATGGACTGAATATTGCCACCATAGTTGTTGCAGTGAATATCCGGTCCATCTCTGTTACTCTGGGGCCAATCCAATATTAGGCCCATTCCAACGTGGAGCAACCCTAGCCCTTCTCGAGAATCCGCAACCAACTCTCTTGCCAATCGCCTATCTTCATTTGACTTTTGCTGCTTCCTTCGCATATCCCAAAGAGTAGTACCCCTATATAAAGGGACCTTAGGCATGCCAAGTTCTTCCATTCACGATCTTATCATTTTTTATAATGACTGATGGTACCAAGATGCCTATCTTCATTGACCTCACAATCTTTAATTCTTCATCTTCCGAGTCTTCCTTGCCAAGATCTTCGTATTCTTCTGAACCCTCCGTCACCTCTAAGAAATTGGTGGAGGTGAGTCCATCTAGGCTAGAAATGCCATTGCCCTCCTCAACGTATTCTAGGTGCTCTGCCCTCTAACTCCGGCTAGTCCCATGAAGGTGCTATTGCGGAGGCTTCTTCTGATCGCCGCGGTACTTTCTGGTCCCATAAGAGGCACAATCTTGGCGCACACACCACTCGTTTGTTCTCCGAAGCCAAGCCTCCTTCCCAAGACCCTCCCACTCTTCAACAAACATCCGAGAATTATTCAGAGGACTGGAGGGATTACGACATGGGTGGAGAGGTGGATCCATCCATCTAGAGGGAGAAGGACAGTCCTTTCTGGGCTCCTTTGCCTCCTTCCCCTAAGTGCATGGATGCAATATGTCTTTTCACTGGATTCGTTGCCTTCATGCCTTCCTTCACCCAGATTGAGGGGCAGATCAAGGGGTATGGTGTTAAATCCCAACCCTTTAGTACCCTTTTGGCCCCAAGATCTCCATCAATCTTGGGTTAGGGAATATATTTCTTGATTTCTTCCATTGATGCAATAGGCCCTCCTTGGACTTATTGCATCAATGCTCTCTCAACCTAGTCTGGAAGAATTGAACCACCGGGAGTTGATGTTCAATCCAAAGCGAGGTGTGCCTATATGGGCTCGATTCTTCCATACTGAAGGTTGCTAGTCACATTGCACATTTTTCAGAGTTTTTATTTAACTAGTTGTATCTTTTGTAGTAGATTTGGGGTAAAGCCCATTATCATAACTCGAAAGAATGTAATCCTTTGTCGAGTTATCTTAATGAAAAACATTTTATCTCCTGTCTTTATTCCATATATGTGCGCTCTATGTGAAGCGAAATGTAATTGTTTACCTTTTACTCCCATTGCACCATTGATCTCACTCCCTAAGGGTATTAGGTAAAGTATAGCATTCTCTTTACCTATATCCCTGGGTTAAGACATGATCTTTTTTCCTGTTTCTTTGGAAGCGTTAGTTTTCCCATCTTCTTCATGGGCTTGAATGTTGGTTTACTAGACTCCGGCCCTCTATGTCTGTTTGCCATTCTTCCAAAGGACCGGATAGCGAAACTAATCTAAGTCTTCTCACATTTCCTTCCTTGCTTTGACGGAGGCATAAATCTTTTCTACCTCCCCTATTTTTAGCTGGTGGCACAAACTATCTACCTTCTACAGAATGGGATTCATCTGATTTAGCTGCGTCTCAAGAATCTTCCTCGGAATACTAGAAGGGCCAAGAAGGGTCTTGAGTCTGTCCATAACATTTGCCATCATGCTGGCAAAGTTATTTAATGCCACTTCAATGCCATTAGGCTGTGTAACGACTGGTTGTTCAGGAACTCTTGGCGTGGCTGAAGAGTGAAGACTGCTGAGAATTTGCAGCACTGCACCTAGAGTTTCTCGTCCTTCTGCTGACCATATTCTCAACTCACAATCCCTCACACGTAATCTCTCAATAGAAACACCAATGATGGGAATTAACCAAACAACTATGGCGGCGATGAACAAATTATAATTTATAATTGATAAATATCACAATATTTCTATTAATAATTGTGTTTCAGTGCTTTTCACTTGCCCTACAATGGAGGGTTCCTCCTCTTTTTATATTATCTACGGTTACATACATAATGGACACCCATCGTGCACAGCACACAATTCTCCGTCATATTTTCCTTAATCTTTCCACGTCCCTGCACAGTTTAGGGCCTTTACATTACGCTTGGGCCAATTGACTAGAATCTGGGCATCTCCCGATACCGGCCCAAATCGCTTCTTGCGATTGGGCCGTTCATTCACGTTTCTTGGGCCCGGATATCCATCAATATTCTAATATGAATCCAATTATATTGAATTTGTATCATAATTAAATATACTTTTCACATAATTTATTGTCAAAGAGTGTCACTGTTTGACAAAAAAAGTCAAAACAAAAAAGATTTTTTGGACCAAAAGGAGTAATATTTTATAGCATAATATTCATATTTTCTAATGATTGGATATTATAATATTAATACTCTTTCTTTACTATATTAAATATTAAAAAGTAAATGATTAAATTTTTTCAATTATTAGTTATTGTCAATGATTTTTATTCTAATGTATATATAAATTGATTATTTTTATTTAATAAATCTAATAATATTAGAATAAAATTTATTGATTGTATTATAATATGAATGATTATAATAATTTTCAAAAGTTATTAAATTGTGACAATAATTTTAAATTTAATTTGAATTGATTTTTGATCTACTCACATATCAATTCACTCATACGAGAAATTCGAAAACACAGATGTACGGTATAGGAAATGTGACCTTACCATTCTCCGGCCACAATCGCCCACCATTGGATAAGAGAAACCAGTACTCTCCGTTTTTCTTATCTAATTCGCCGCCATTCCTGCTGCTATTTGCCACAAACACTATTATTATTACTCTTCGGCGCTCAATGGCCTTCGCGGCCGCTGTTTGCTGGTTTACGGCGGTCACCTCCGCCGGCACTACCCGCTCTCTATATTCTCAACGGCTCTTCACTACTTCCCAAAGATCGTCCCGCTTTTTTGTTACAAAGGCCCCCTTTCAAAGTCGAGATGAGGAACCGAACCAAAGAAAGAAGAGTCTCAATAAATCACCTCCCCGCAGTTACGTATCTCCCAAAGAGGTATTTCTCAAGAATCAAGATCTACTCCCTCCGTCCTAAAACTTTCTTCCCAGAGCACTATTCCAACTTCAAGGGAATTTATATTTATTTGTGTTTTTTCATGGCCTATATGATAAAATAAAATATTCTTGTCACCACTTATTTTGTTGAATTTTTGATGTAGTTTTTAAATATGTATGTTTTATTTTTTATTTCTATACCAATATTTAAATAAAATAGATTGAAAAAACTTGGGATTTTTCTTCGTTTTGCGAACCGGGAAGATGGAGGGAGTATATTTGAAGCTTTTGCCAGTTATCTCTGTTGTGTGTTAACCTTTTATTGATTAATAATACCCCCTTTGCTCCTATTTAAACACTGACTTTGTCTGTTTCATTGAATCTTACTTTGGTATTGGTTTTGGGTAATGATTAAGCTGATAATAAATTTCAAATGGAGTACCTCAACAGATTAGTCATCAACTATACATTGTTGCTTGAAAATGATCTTTGTATTTGGACTTACTTTTAAGGGAGTCATTTTTGAAATTGTTTTTGTTTCGGGTAAAAAATGGAGTAAATTAAAAAGACATAACAAACTTCCCTTGCTTCTTACTTCCAATGAAGTTTTGGGTACAAGTGTCTAACATTAACAGCCACCTATTTTTTTATGGGTGTAAAGTTGCGCCCATCTTGACCATAGATGTATGTATGTATGTATGTATGTATGTATGTATGTATGTATGTATGTATGTATGTATGTATGTATGTATGTATGTATGTATGTATGTATGCATGCATGCATGCATGCATGCATGCATGCATGCATGCATGCATGCATGCATGCATGTATGTATGTATGTATGTATGTATGTATGTATGTATGTATGTATGTCGCCTAGTCGTCGCCTAGGCGTGCGCCTAGTGGCCTAGGCGATATGAAGGTACATTGGCGCCTTGCCTCGCCTTGCCGCCTTACAAACTATGATCTTGACTCGAGACCCCAAATAAGCTGGGATTATATTGGGTTTGATGATGATGATGATGACGGCAACGCTGTTCTGTTTTGGGCTTAAAAAATTTGGTTATCAGAATTGTATCTTGGACTAACTAAACAGGACAACTTTGGGTCCAAATCACATACCTGACACCAAAATTAGTCTAGAAAAAGAAAATATGGGTACTTCCTGCATTAAACAACATTTTATTTGAAAACACATATGGAGTATTTGTTTCAAAAAAATGTCCTCTGTGAACAAAATGCTTAAGTTTCATCAAATCTGATGCATTTCTTTAAAAAGTGCTCCAAACAAGTTGAGTGTTGGATTTAGTTAAACCAGCAAACAGTGTTAAAATATAGCTATGTTTGATGATTTCCAGAAATAGGCCTTACTAAAAATGATAGCTTTTACCCCTTTGAAACATAACTTTCTTTATCATGGGATGAAGGGAGTAATAATTTTTGTGTTGAACTCTAAGTTCTCTAATGGCACATTTTTTGC